GAGAGAGAGAGAGAGAGTGTGTGTGTGTGTGTGTGTGTGTGTTATCTTAATCAGTTGGAAGTCTAGAGTCTCACATGAATAAGCTAATATACACTTCTATTTTTCTAGGACATTGTGGTATTATGTAGGCAACTTCATGTCTATGGAGCAGAATAAACAAAATCAGATCATAAATGCATTCCAATACATTGTTGATCAGATTCAGACACAAAAGTTGGACTAACTAAAAACAGGATGGTAGAACAGGTCAGGAAATTATGTAATGAATTAAAAAACAAACAACATTCTATCTATCTATCTATCTATCTATCTGCTTAGCATATCAACCACACAGACCTCTGTGGGACAGTCAGACACAATGTCTGTCTTTGATAATAGCAGCTGGGACGCAGGGTTCGTGATGTCGTGATGTCATCACACATTGAAACGCACATCCTCGCTCGAGCCACACCGCAGTGCAGAACGAGCTGTTACTGTTCAGACCGTGACTCGAAACTTCACGCGCGAGTTTGATTCTCAAAACAACCGGTTTCTTCAGTTAGAAGAGTTTGTTTTTCTTTCGAACTAAAATTGACTTTTTGTTTTAGAAACAGGCAGCAAAAACTGACCTTATGGAAATCAAAACTATCCTGTTTTTAATTCTGAATGCGCACACATGCACTGCCGTCTTTAACGGTAAGTTTATTCATGCATAAAGAAATTGAGATTTTGATTTTCAAAAGCTATGCGACTTCTGGTATTTTCCCTGGTGCGCTTTAACTTACGCGAATGACTGAAAGGAGGAGTTGAAGAAAGTAACTTAATCATTAAAAGTGAAAAAAAAAGTAAAAGTAGCCTATTATTACTGTTTGAAAAAAAAAATTTTATCCGAAAAATAAAAAATAAAAAATTATTAATAAAAAATTATTAATCCTGTGTTTTCCAATCTACCACAAGCCTAATTGTAGATATTTTATTTATTTAAAAAATATATATGAATGAATGAATCAATCAATCAATCAATGAATCAATCAATCGATCGATCGATCGATCGATGTGTGAAAACAAAGTGCCTTCAGGCTATTAATGAAACTAAGAAAATATTAAGAAAAAGTGGGCTCGCTGTAGGCTATATTTATTTGAAAAATGACCAGCTATATCACCATCTTATATCAGCTAGAAAGCATCTACCATGTTCCAAAACACAGCTACTAGTACCAGCCAACAAGGCTTTGAAATATAACCTGTCAAATAAGTTTATACTCAAACTTAATCCTTTGCAGACACATCAAAATATTGCTGAAGGCTCTGAGAGAGGCTGCTCACAGCATTCCTAGGAAATGTCCCTGTGTGTGTTTTGGTTGGAAGTATTATTCTTATTATCGAGCTCTCAGATATGGTTGTTTTCCTGTGTTTATCTATTAATGTTACATAGGAATTTACTAGTATTTATTTTGTATGTTTGATTACAGTTAGTGCTGAAGACAGTTTAGCTGAAACTGCAACAACTGTTCAGCCGGTTTATCCACAGGATCATCACGAGAAACCCAGAAACGGTATAGTTTTCAGAGATCCTCTAAATACTGTCTTACATTTATAAACTGGACATGAAGTAATGACCCCTCCCTATATAAATATAAATTGGTTATTTGTAAGTTACCTTACTATATAAACAGTATGTGAAACATTGTCAATGGTTTAACATCGCATTATATGAACTTTTACTGTAAAATGCTGTCAAAAATATTTTTTGCACATAAAAACTATAAAGTACTTTATAATTTACTATGAAAAACAGTAAAAGGACATTCCCAGAAGTCACTGCATGACACATCAAATGATTATATTTTATATAAATAATTTAGTTTTCATACATTATGTAGCCTACATTAAGGTGTTTTATGTTACATTTTCTGTTATTTAGTTAATGTTTATTGCATTATTTTTGTGTCATGTGTGTTGTTACCCTGATGGTATTTTGTCTTTGTGTTTTACCATCTGTATGGTGTTTATCAGTACAGTTTATGGTTAAAAATCTGATTTTGGTATATATTAACAGTAGCATTTAATGAAATATCCAGTTCCCCTTCAGGAACTCGAGCTGCGTCAAAACGCTACGGGAACGCCTTCAGCGTGAACGCGCTCTGAATCACATGTGTAATCAGTCCAATGGATGGGCGAGACGTCACGGGCGGGGTGACATAACGACCAGGAAGCTTAAAAGCACGTGCGGTGGAACCGGCGTAGTCGCTATCTGTTTGTGAGTCTTATTTAGTGTTGTTTGTCCAATTATAAGCTCCATTATGTCAAAGCTTCAGTCAAAAGAAGCATTTGGGCGAGCAGGCAGCGTTCAGGCTGTGTGTTCCTCCCTGCCCGTGCTATATTCGGTGGGGACAAACACAGTTTGTGTGTTGTCTGTTTGGGAGCGAAGCACGCAGAGTCAGCTCTCGAGGGAGCTGACTGCCCGCATTGCGAGCGTTTTGTTACTGCCTTGCTTCGCTCTCAGAGGGGTCTCTTTGAGGAGGGAGCCTTCGCTAGCGTTTCTCGCGGTGCCGGCCCTGCTTTCGCAGAGGCGGAGTGGCGGCTGTGCTCGTGGGTTTCGCATATGGATCCGGTGGAGGGAATGTAGATGGGCAAGTCCCTATCTTCTTCCTTAACCACCAGATTCGGTGCCTGTTCTCAGGGTTTCGGAAGTCCGCGCTGAGGTCCTTCCCCCCAGGGAGAGGGCACGACGCTTCGCCTGTCTTTCTTCGAGGAGATTGATACGGAGAGCGTCGATGAGCTTGCCAGTTGCACAGGCATCAGTTACACAAGCATATTAGGCCTAATATTATAATTAATATTATAATGAGCAGCATTAATGGGGAGCAGAGCTCGCGCAGTCGGCTCTCGGGGGGCTGATTGTGCTTTTCCCCCTGTTAAGCGCTCCGATCTCACCGGGCACGCTCCGAGGAGTGTGTCCGTGCCTGTGATCTTGCGATTCCGGTCCTGCTGCTGCTGAGGCACTGCGGCGACTAAGATCGCGGGCATCGCACGTGACGGCTCTTCCCATCTCCACCCGCATTCCCTAGATCTAGAGCTAGTTCTCGAGGCTCGGAAGCCCACGCTGCGGTTTTTTCCCCCTCTGAGTGAGAGCTCTGCTGCAGCTATTTTTCTCAGAGGAGATTGATATTGTTTGTGTGACCAAGCGGCACGCGCGCTGCCAAGGCAACGCGTGTATTACATCATTTTGAGTTTTTGATGTGAATCTTTCCACACCGACGAGTGTTTACTCGTTTGGTTGTTTGGCTGCATTTAATTCTGAGAAATTAAATGAGGTATTTATCTGACTATGAGAAGTTAGATATATAATTTTCTATTTTTTATATGAATCTTATCACACCAGACCGTGTTTACTCGTCTGGTTGTTTGGCTGCATTTAATTCTGAGGAATTAAATTAAGTATTTATCTGACTATGAGAAGTTAGATATATCATTTTCAATTTTTGATATGAATCTTATCACACCAGACCGTGTTTACTCGTCTGGTTGTTTGATTGCTGGTTGTTCTTGAGTAAGAGCACGTGTTTACCTCTCTTCCTCTGAGGAGGTTGAGGCGGTCAGCAGGGGCTTCTGGGCGGGAGCTGTCCCAACCTACCATGTTCCAGCTCCTCATTCTGGGGGCGTCACTTCTCGTACTCCGCAGAGTCTAGAGTCAGAGTGGTGCTCCCAGGCCGAAGGCTTCTAGCGGAAGGCGGTTCTGTGGACGTCCTGACGCTTAAGGCCTATAGGACCTCTGAGGTCCAGCTCCCTCGGGGGAAGAGCGGTGTACACCGCATTACACGGTGGCCGTCTCTCCTCAGTGCCCTCAGGAGATCGGTCTGCCAACCCTGCCGGTGTTCCAGGGCGCAGCGGTCTCCGGCGAGCGCTTTTCTCAGTTACCACCCGGAAACGTAGTGGTGCTAAGAGGCTCGCGACCTCCACTGAGGTCTCTAGAGCAGCTAGTACGGCCGTCCCTTGCCGGTTCGCCGCTTCAGGGCACCGCCGAGCTAGCCGCTCTAAGTGCACCAGAGGTCAGTCTCGAGAGACTGATTCCCTTAGTAGACTA